TTCCTTCCTTCCTTCCTTCCTTCCTTCCTTTCTTTCTTTCTTTCTTTCTTTCTTTCTTTCTTTCTTTCTTTCTCTCCCTTCCTTCCTTTTCTTTCATTCTTCCTTCCCTCTTTCTTTCTTCCTTCTTTCCTTCCCTCCTTCCTTCTTTCTTTCTTAGTTGGGGGGTCACCTCTCACAGGCTCTTTGTTGGGTTTTGAGAATGCGTCTGCCCATCTGTAAAACGCAGAGTCCTGACTTCAGGTGGCAGGCAGGGTGGAAGGAAATCCTGAACAAGGTAAGACGGCATGCCCAACAAACAGTACGTTGAGAAATATCTATTTCCCTCTTCCAGCATCTTCTTCCGGGATGAAATCTAACATTTCAAGTGAGGGATCAGACTATGCGGTGCTGGGGTGAGCCTTTACCTGCTTCGATCTGATTGATCTCCACCAGTCCTTGAAGCCTGTGGACCAAAGCTGTTCTGGTGCGCGGGGACACCCTGCGGGGAAAGCCGTGTGAGCAGCGCCGGCCTCTGGGCTCCATCGCCCTCGTCCTGCATGTAGAGAGGATCCCTGGAGAGGTCACGCCGCGTTCCCAGAGATGTGACCCCAGCTGTCTGCTCATGCGCGCTCCCGGGACCCCGGCGCCCGGCCGCCCGGCGCTGCCGCGGCTGCTGCCCGGGTTGCCCGGGTTGCTGCTACTGTTGCTGCTGCTGCTGAGCGCTTCGGGACGGGCAGGTAGGAGGGTCCCCCCGGGCGGGAGCCTAGAGGGACCCTCGCCGGGAGGTTAACTCGGCCTCCTGTGCTCCGGGACTGGGCTCTGGCTTGCTGGATCCGAGATGGGGCTGGGGGCGGGGGCGGGGGGAGTAGCAGCACTCGAGTGGTCCACGAAGCCCGTGACCATGACGTCGAGGGGCCGCTCGCACTAAGGTCCAAGGCTCCTAGACCGAGCTGCCCCTGGAAGGTCAGAGCTTGGAAAAACCAGTGATGGGAAACCCACATCTCACTCTTCTGGGCACAGTCTTGTCTCCGGAATCGTGACATGTACAGATATGCACTCTGATTTTTTCAGAAGTAACAAAACCGAGCTGTGACTCCAGGCCCTAGAGGGGTTTTTCTTTGTTGTTTGAAAGTTTAAGCTGTAACCGCTGTGATTCAGAAAGAGAATATGATTCGCTAAAGAAAGTTTCTTTTTCTTTTCTTTTTATTTCTCCCATATAAAAGCATACTTTTTAAAAAGCAAGATATCTCACACGCCCCCTTTAAGTTTTTAATTAAAGACAACAGCCACAAGGCTTCCCAAAATATCGATTGTAGTTTATATAAAATTGATTCAGGCACCTGTGCCGTTTAGCCTGGATCTGAAGGGCGAGTTGGGGCAGAGTTGTCCATGAGACGGCAGCCAGAGAAAACAAGGAACTCAGCGTGCTTTCAGGGGCAAGAAACGTGCACACTGGTCTCAGAGAGACTGCTGGGCAGTATATTCGATACAAAAAGTTTCTTTGCTAACTTCTAAATTGATGAAAATGATTGTATTTTAGTAATCCCAGATAAGCCAAATGTGAAGAGACTTATTTAAATGTCGCCAATTTAAAAAAAGGGGGGGGGGTTGGTTTTTAAAGCATAGTTGAAGTTTATTACAAAAGGTTTTAGCAGAGATTTAAGTACAGGCATCAAGGGGAATGAGAGGGGAGTGTGTGTGTGTGTGTGTGTGTGTGTGTGTGTGTGTGAATGGTTAAGGGAAGCTCTCCACATATAGCACATGCAATAGAGCCAGCATCCTGAATTTGCTTGGTTTTAATCAGAGAAATAAAACTTGCTCACTAATTGGACAAAGAGAATGACATTAGAAGTCAGCAATATTCCTAACTTAAAAAGCAAAATTTGCAAGCAAACACACACACATAGAAACGTGCTTTTTTGATGCACAAGACCCAGAAATTTTCTCAGCGTTTAACGTGGGGCTGTCCTCTATAGATACTCTGCGAGCTACTAGGAAAACCAGTTAGAAGGTGGATTAGCTGCCTAGATACCATTCCTACACTTGATTGCTTAACCGGCAGATAAGCCTCCCACTCTACAGAAAAATGTGGACTTTTAGGAGTTGTAATGACAAGCCACTCCTGGGTAGATAGTACTTGAACTTTTCTGAATTTTTTCTTTTTCACGATAATTCAGAGTTTCACGACAAGATGAGGGTATATAAGCCAAAACACCCAAAGAGAAATGAATGTCTCATGCAGCACCAATATTTTATATCGATCTTGATGTTTCATTTAAGGTAAACCATTACAGGAGTTCTGAATGTCTCTGCTGTTCCCCAAGGCTGCTGTAGCCCTGTTACTGACTCTCCTGGCTCTCTGATTTTACCAGACGGTTTGTCCCTCTGGCCTATCAAACTGGGTCCTGTCGATAATCCTGAATCTTCAGGGCTGTGTGTCATTAGTGTATGTCGGTGAGGAGGAGGAGCTCCATGATGCTGTTTCATGTAAAACAGAGTTCATATAATGGCCAGCGTTATATAAACATGTCTTAAGCCTATATGAGACTGAAAACAGTGATTGCCCAGGACAATATGTCTCTGTGCAAAATCCCTCAAAGGCCTTCCATTGCTTTCGGAATTTTCTAAATCCTGCATGTTCTGTGTGACCTGTTCCCTCCTCTCTCTCTCCAGCTTTACTTTAATTACTCCTCTTCTGGTCTTTTTCCAGTTCCCAGAGCAAACCACATGTCCAGGATCCATCCTTGCAGCTCACCTCAGTGTGACTCTCGCAGGGAGGTCGTCTCTTAATCTCCAATGTGGAAGCAGCCTTCACAGGACTTACTGGTCATCCCACCCAACTGCTACTTCTTTGAATCACCCCCTACAGCATCAGTCCAGGGAAATTAATTACCTGTGCCCTGCTGGAGAACCTCTCACCACAGGAAACTCACTACCAGCACCCAGATAGGCAAGATGCCCCCGCCAACTACTAAAAAGTCCTTCCGTAAACTAGCAAAGCACTTGGTGCTTGCTATTTTCATCCATTGTTTGTATTTATTTTGAGCTGAAAAAGCCCCCATAGGATAAGGAAAATGTGTTGGTATTGGGGGTGCAGCTGTCACGTTTCAGCTGCCTCTTTGGTCTCTGCTCACGGCCTCTTACGTGATATCTGTGCCATGTCCCTTCCCTGTGTTGTTTCCATGATGTCTCCCAAGGTGTGTGACTTCTTGGGCTGGCTCCCTACAGAGCTCGATGGAATGGCTAACTTACCAAACGCGGAAGTTTTGTGAACATGTCAGACCTGGAAGTCTGCACTGAGAAGGTTGAGAGGAGATATGAGGTCTTCTCCTATGCTTTCCATATCATAAACGTGAAGGACAGCCACCGTGGGCTCTCAACAAAGACTGCTAGTGTTTAACATCTTGCATCTGGGAAGCTCTCTCCTCAGACCCCTGCCTCCCATCTCTTCAGTTAACTGCTCCAAATATGTGTGAGGCAAAACTGCCCATTTTATTCCAACCCAGCTCTCCCTCCATTTTATATTAAAAATATATATGTTGCAGAATGTCTGCTAAATTACTTCCTAAGTGCTCAATGTGTTATTTTAAAAAGTAGTTCATAGACTTTTAGTGCAAAAACTAGAATTGCATGTACAGAGAAATGAGAAGTTTGAAGTGGTCAGATTACACAAAAATGAGATTAGTGGAATGTCCTATGCATCCATTTTGAGTTCCCACAAATTTAAATATATCCTTACTCAATGTGATTTTTAAATAATCTCTCTTTGAGGGCTTTCATTTATCTACCCATCCACTCATTAAGTACCATTCATTCATATAAGTGGGAACTGTCCCAGGCTCCTAATTGTACAAGAAAAAGACCCTTTCTTCATGTAGTCTCCAGAGAAAGACAGAAAAATTAGAATGCCAGAACTGAGAGAAACGTTTCATAGACATACAGAACAAGACATCTGAACTAGGGCAAGGTTGGACTCCTATAGGAAAAGTCTCACTATAATGTGGGAGTGTGGCAGTCTGAATCTGAAATGCCCCACTCACATACATGTCTTGAATGTTCCTCCCCAGCTCGTAGGCCCGTTCTAAAGGCCTTAGAGTCTTTATGACGTGAGTGGGCTCAGCCAGCAGAAGTAGATGACTGGAAATGGGCATCACTGTTCTCCCTGGTTCTGGCCTGCAGTTTCTGCATCCTGGTCCATGCCTGGTGCACAGCCGTTGCCTAGTGTTTCTACCTCTGCGGCAGAGCTGCCCCCCGCCCCCCCTCCAAACTTCCTCCTTACCCTAATCTTAAACTTCTCTGAAATCTTGATCTAAAACATGCCTTTCTGTCCTAACTTCTGTCCGGCGTTCCTGTCGCCCTGGTACAAACGCAACTGAGAGAATGCACCACATCACATTCTCCCTACGTCAGAAGGAAAGATACAACAGAAGATAAACACATCTTAATAGAAAAAGAAACATTACATGCTTTCCAGAAAACACATATAAATTCAGCAAATAACCAAAAACAGTTTCCTATATATTGCATCAAATATTTATAATTCAATATACATCTAATCTCTTTTAATTTAAATATTTGTAAAAGGTAGGCGGCGGGGGTTAAGTCCCACACTGAGTGAATCCTATCTCTAAATTACCAGGTACTAATGTTCCCCCCCACACCCCCCGCCCGTACACTTTATATTTACAAAACACATCTGAACAAAGAAACAGCCACCTCGTAGAAAGGATGCTCTTTCTGAAAGTGGTGGTTACGGAGTGGGCAGGAGTCAGGAGCTCTGTGGGTATAGACTGACCTCAAGGTCGTTGGCAGACTCCACAAGTCACTGTGGTCTGCAGCCCTCTGCAGCATTGAATCAAACCACAAACAGTTATGAAAAGGCACAAATGTTAAGACGTGGTTTTTAAATAAAGGTGCCGTGTCCCACTTCCTGCTTCAACACAGGTCTTGAAAGGCCCTGCTAATTTTTAATGAATAAGTGTGCAGTGGGTGGCTTATTGTTCCAGTTTCCACCCTGTTTCTAGAAAAATCCTAACACTGTCAGAGCAGCAATGGATTGGCTGATACTAATATCTGAAGACTCAGGTCACCCACAACCCCAGAATATGATATTTGGAGATGGGATCTTTGTGGACATAACTCGAAGATCTCATGACCCAGTCATTTTGGAATTGAGCCAGACTTACAGGAAGATAGAACTCTGAAAGACCCCATGGAAGCAAAGATGTGAGAAGCTTGAAGTTACAGTCACCATAAGCCCCGAAACCTTGCGGGCCCCAGGAATTGGAAGAGATGCGAGAGCAGACTTTCAAAGAACCTTCAAAGACAGCATGGCCAGAAGACACTGTGGTTTGAGACATCTAGCCTCAAACCACAGCAATTTAGCCAGAATTGCAATAGACACATCTATATCTCAGACCCACCCCTGTGTGGTACGTTACCACAGCAGCACTAGGAAGCTGCCCCTGGTCTTGGAGTCTTCTCTATGAAGCCATCGTTTTTGCTGACTGCTTCTATCATGAAATTCTCTCTTTGGGATTATGGCACAACAATATAAGTACCTCAATCAGCCAGCCTTCTTCAAGGCACATACAGCAAATGGAACCCCATTCATTTTATTTCATGTAGCTCTGTAGCTTCCCCCAAGGCATAATTCAACTTCAAAAAGGTCTGCCCCCCACCCTGCTCCCTCTCAGAAACACCAAAGCACCAGCTTGCCACTATAGAGGAGAGCCAGTCTAGAGAAAAGCCATTCTCCTTTCTAACGGTGCTTGGAATGGTGGCTGACTCTACTTCTGTGGTGTTCAATTAGCACAGTGGTTCTCAACCTTCCTAATGCTGCGGTCCTTTGTGTCTTAATGACCCCAGCCATGACATTATTTCTGTTGCTACATCATAAATGTAATTTTGTTACTGTTATGAATCTTAATGTAAATATCTGATATACAGATGATCTTAGATGACCCCTGTGAAAGGGTCATTGAGAGAACCCTTTTGAGAACTGCTAAATTAGACAGTCTGAGATCTATCTATTGACCTCATTTCCCTCAATAGCTAAACCAACAGTGAACAGAAGTAGATTCCACTGATGACTTTCTCGAAACTTAAAACAAAATGGACCAAGGCTTGGACTGTGTTGCATTTCAGCTATCAAGAGTCCTTTATGCATCCATTGAGATGATCGTGTGATTCTGTCTTTGAGTCCATTTATATGGCTCATGATATTTGTTTGCTTACGTATGTTGAATCATCCCTGCGTCCATCAGATTTTGTGTGTGTGTGTGTGTGTGTGTGTGTGTGTGTGTGTGTGTGTGTGTACGCATGTGTGTGTGTATGTGTGCATTCAAGCATGCATTTGTGTATTCATATGTGCACATCCACATGTGTTTTAAATCTGCACAGGACATTCTTCACTATAATTCATTGTTACAAATGGAGGTGGGAGGGAGTCTGCTTTCTTCCCTCTCTCCCTCTACTAACCCTTTGTCCATCTTTTCCATCTTTAATCACCTCATATTTTATTTCCAATTCTCAATATATTATTACTTTAAAGCTTCCTTACTTTATGGGCTTTTTTCCACATTTTTTATCCTGTCAGCGTTCTGAATTTTTTAACAATGGTGATGTCAGTGAAGAATTATGATGCCTCTAGGAGGGAGGAGAGAAATGACAAGTTGTAAAAGGGAGTTGGAAAGTAACATGGGAGATGTGCACTGATATTAAAAAGTGTCTCGTAATTGAACTTGGTGTTTCCAATCACAGTTCATTCCAATACTTCAGTGATCCCAGATGCTTTGGCTTTGACCATATTCCTTGTCGGACGTTTCTTTCTGAGGCATATAATCAAGGATTAGAGATGCAGGTCTACATTTCAATCTACTGCCCCACAAATACTATGAAAATCTGTCATGAAGTGTGGAAAAATAATTAGGTGCTTGTTCCTAAAAGGGTCCTTTTCTAAAGGAGAAGGGATGGGAAAGAGGAGGGGAAGAGAAGGTGATCCCAGGGATGCTGTGACAGTGGACCAGGATCTGTATACACAGTCCTGGGGCATATTCAAAGGATCCACAGCATCTCCCAACGAGGCACCTGGCAGGCTATGCTCCATTGTGAGACAATGGAGGATTTCTTAAATCCCTTTTCTTCAGAGTTGCAGGTAGAGCCTCACATACATGAGTCAGGAGATCCCATTCAGTAACTGACCCGCCTCTTTGGGGGTGCAAACTCCAGTTCCCAAGGTATTCACTGTCACTTTAAGAACCTTGAACCATTCAGCTGAGAAATGCCACGCTGAGCAAAAACAAAGCATGGTGAGTGAAGAGCAATGCTGGATTATGTTGCTTGTTTAGAAACTGCCTATGAAGACACTGTTGCTAAAAGGAAGCATGATCCAAATGCCCTGAGCTAATCAGTACCATGGGGACAGTCAGAAACCTCTGAAACTGTTTCAAAGCTACACTGTCTTCGATGGGTAGACTCCAATATGTCCATTCAAATAAAAAGTCTCTATTTGAAATCCTACTTGCTTTTCAAGTACAAGCAGCAAAACACACAAAAACATGTTTAAACATGTAGATTTACATATTGAGGTATTAAGGTGTGACTAAAAAGGAATAATACAATTATTTTTTAATTAATTAATATTAATTAATTAATATATTTTTTAATTTTTATTTTTTTCCTTCATGACTTAATCTACACTCTCCCACGTAAGTGTGCACACACCCAGCAGGAGAGGGATGAACAGTCATCCCGGATTTGGAGCCCCTGACTAATGTAGACATGGTTCCTCCCGGGTCCAACTTGGTGAACCCGGGAGTGTCTTGGGTTTACTTACAGGAGAGTAGGTGACTGGGATACAAGAGTGTCGCTCAACAGTCCCATCCCAGCAGAGGTGACAGCCTGAAGGGAGCTAGCTGCCTCAGTGGTGCTTCGGGTCACCTCCCACCTCTTTTTTTTTTTTTTTTTTTTGGTTGTTTTGTTTTGTTTGCTCATTGATTTTTTTCATTTTTGCATCCTGACCCAAGTTTCCTCTCCCTCCTCGCCTCCAAGCCCCTCCCCCACCCCATTCCTACCCCATCCCACCCACTCTCCCCTCTTCTGTTTCTCTTTAGAAGAGGGCAGGTCTCCCATGGACACCAGCCAGTCATGGCAGGTCAAGTTCCAGTGAGACTAGGCACCTCCTCTTCTATCAAGGCTGGGCAAGGTAATCTGCTAGGAGGAAAGGGTCCCAAAAGCAGGCAACGGAGTCAGAGACAGCCCCTGCTTCCACTGTTAGGAGTCCCACAAGAGGACCAAGCTACACAACTGTAACATATATACAGAGAGCTTAGGTCAGTCCCAGGCAGGCTCCCTGGTTGTCGGTTCAGTCTCTGTGAGCCCCTGGGAGCCTAGGTTAGTTGATTCCGTGAGTTTTCTTGTGGTGCCCTTGACCTCACTTGCTTCTACAATCCGTCCTCCCCCTCTTCTGCAGGATTCCCTGATCTCCACCTAATGTTTGGCTGCAGGTCTCTGCATCTGTTTCCATCAAGTGCTGGGTGAAGCCTCTCTGACGATAGTTG